TTGCAACATGTTACTTTATTTTTACACTAAAACCTTTAATTCATGTAGAATTTTTTGAATGCACATTAGAGAAAAGTATGTCTCAAACCACTGGCTGGGATACCATTTAAGAGACTCCAGAGAGCTGTATATTCTGAAAAGTTTCATGTCTTGTTGACTTCAGTGGCAGAGTTGGAATGATGTGAATGCTAGGAGGGAGTCTGGTCTAAGAAACAAATCAGCATGTAGTGCACTAACTCATAATTTAATGCCCTACATTTCTCTACAATTAAATAGAAGAGAAATAAGTAATGATGAACCAGGGCAGGGCCTTATTACATTTATAAAGATTTAAATAAGAAAAAAAAAAAGGGTGGAGGAAGATGTGATTTCATATACTACAAAGAGAAGAAGCCTTGCCTGGTAACAGGTGAGGGACTTCCAAGGAGACCCTAGACAACATTGGAAGGACACTTTGATGAATGATGGAGTCTGGCCTCTTTCCTGGGTCTGGACTAAAGCAGTGCATTAAGGTATGATGACATTTGCAAAATGTATGGTCTTGGACGATTCTATAAACGAATTTGGAAACTATATTTCCAGCAACATTAGCCATGGTTATCATCACTATCACCATCTATAAAAGTAAAACAAGATCAAACAACTGGAAAGTTAGAGTTTGTGTTAACAATGTGTCTATCATTGAATTTGAGAAAAAAAACTTTACTTTTTGACTTTTGAAGAGATACTGGGACTCATCTGCTCTGTTCCCTACGTCTTTTCCTTGTTTGGGAGGGAGGAGGCAACAGGATTCTGCAGCTTAGACTGACTTCACTCCAAGTCTGTCTGACCTAGATGACTAAAAGGCTTGATGAGCTAAGTAGAAGCAGGTGAACGTAGGGAAGAGGTTGGGCACGTAAAAATGCACAATAGAGAACAAACAAGATGACGGATCAGGTGGACGTGTAGTACAGAGCTCCGCCAACAACAACACAGAATACCCGACCAAGCAGGCTCAGGGGCTGGTCCCAGACCTCTGAACCACATATAAAGGAATACTTAGAAGTTTGGAAGGCTCACAGTTGGGGGAATTTGTGGCAGAAGCAATAAATCTATTGCTTTCTAGTCTGGGACGCTAGGCTGCTCCAGGAGCCACCATCTTGGGTGAGACCATGCGGGGGAAGGAGCGGAGCAGCCACAGATGCCTGGCAGAACCGCTGAGATAAAGGTGTGGACATTCTTTTCTTTTGGTAGATGTTCATTGGTCCCTTGCTATCTGTGCACCTCCATTCAGGTGACTATAGGGGTGCCTGAGCACCCCAGCCCCACCCTCGGAGGGTTCTACTACGCATGCGCACAGATCTCTTTGAAATTTAAAGAGACAGTTTCCAATTAAAACCAAATGGCCACAGCCAGCCCTGAACTGTTTCCAACTAGAAAAAA